TGTGTTAGTCAGATTTGTATTGGTGAAACAAATACCTCAGATAATTTTAAAGGAGGAAAATTTATGTTGACTCACAATTTTGGAGGTTTCAGTGCATGGTTAGTTGGCCCATTGCTTTAGGGGCTGTGGCAAGGCAGTGAATCATGGCAGGAGCACATAGTAGAGAGAGTTGCTCATATCATGGTGGCTCACATCAAGAGGAGGATGAGGAGGGGTTGGAGTTCACAGTCCTCTTCACAGGAATGTCCCTAATGACCTATGTTTCTCCCACAGGAACCCCCTCCTAAATATTCCACCATTTCCCAGTAGGGCTACTGGCTGGTAACCACATATCTCCAGCACATGAGCTTTGGAGATACTTATCCAAATCATAGCATTTTCTCAATTCAGCTTGTCTGCTTTCTTCTTAGAAGAGATTCTACTCAGGCTCTTTCAGTTTTTGTTTACAGTGGTGTCAGTCCTCTTTTTTTTTTTTTTTTCCCTGTTCCTTCAAAAATATTTTAGTGGGATATTGAGAAACTCATAGTCAGACCCCATTTGACTCAAAAAGTTTGCTTTTTGGGGGACTGAGTATATTTCCTTTTTTATATAATGACTTTATCAAGATGTAATTTACATACCATAAAATTCACCCACTCAAATATACAAATTGGTGATTTTGTAAGTTTACCTAGCTGTACAACCATTAACTTAATCCAGTTTTAGACCATTTTTTTACCCCGTTAAATTCTTCATGACTGTTTTCCATCAACCCCTGTTCTCATCCTCAGCCCCATGCAACCAGTCATCTACTCTCTGTAGATTTGTCTTTTCTTGGTATTTCTTTTATGTGGAATTATGTAATATATGTCCTCTTGTACAATCTGGCTTTGATTGTACTTTCCTATAACCATCTTTGAAAACTTAAATTGCCTTTGTAGCCTTTCACAGGGGCCCAGGATTAAAGTTCTAAATGTGAGAGCACAAAAAAGCCTTCCCTAACTTCAAGGAACATTGTTTCCTGGGTTTTTCATGATCTAGGAGTCATGGGGTAAATAAATCTCGCAAGTAAATTTTGAAGAAACTACACTAGGGAGTATAAGGGAAACAAACAGTACTTTAGGGGTTTTCTTAAGATTAGGTTCAGTCATCTGGCAGGGATCCTTATTTGTCAACCAGGGATTGATTTGTCCAAAAAATGCTATACTTCCCTTTATTCACCCACTCATTGTGTGACTTTTGAAAAGTCACTTATTTCTCAGTTGAAGCATTGATTCTCCAGGAGCTGGAATGAGGCATATTCAGAGTTAATGAAAGTCATTTATCTTTTTGCATTTCTGCTATTCTCCCCTTTCTACCCCTGAATACAAACCAGAGTCTGGATTGCAATCACAATGCAAAGAAAATAAGAACCATTATTCTGGTGAGAACCAAACAGACCTAGGACTAACAGGTACCAAGCACCATAGTTCTTCCAGAACTATGCTAAATTCTCAATGCATACACTTTACTCTCCACAGTGATTTCTAAGCTCAACATAGAATCAGGCCCATTTTTCAGTTGTACAAATGGCAACCTTTAAAAAGTGGTAATTTCAGCCAAAGTCACACAGCTGGGAAATCCACCTTCACTCAGTTAAATCATTTCTGTTTGCCTTAACTGTTCCTAAATCAAGCCACAAATTAGCTCTAGCTAAGTATCAGTAAGGGAAAGGAGAAAGTTTTATTAACATACTTGTAGTGTCCTTTTCTTTTGTAAAAATAATTAAAATAAATAAAAATGATCAAAAAGTATCTTATGTCCATACCATCCTATCACAGATATTTCAGTTTTTTTAAAAAAATGCTCTCATTTATTCACCTGCTTTCATTTTGTTACATAATTTTCACAATGGTATGTATTCATTTTTGTTCTTTTCTATGTACCATTGTTTCTTTAAAGCATTTTCTATACTGATACTCAGTTTTTGCAGCTATCATTTTAATGACAAAAATATTCTATCCATTTTATAAGATGTAATTTTCACTGGTCTCCTATGTAGGACATATAAGATATTTCCTTGCTGTCACAGATGGTGTTGCATACTCATGTGTACAGATTATTTTCATTGTGAATTGTTTCCTTATGACAAATTCCAAGAAATGGGATTTCTAACTTAGAGAACATTTGTTAGCTCTGGGAAGCATAGTAACAGATCATTATCTAAAAGTGATGCTCCAAATTGACTCCCGTCTTTAATACCTAATGAAATTAACATCAGAATTTTTTGGGGGGGATGGTTTTTTGAGACAGGGTCTCACATGTAGTTGACTCTGATCTGGAACTCACTATGTAGCCCAGGCTTGTCTTGAACTCACATCGATCCTCCTGCCTCAGCCTTCCGACTGCTGGGATTACAGGCATGTGCCACCACGACCAGCAACATCAGAATTTTTTTAATGCAAAAATTCTCCAGCAATAACCAAAAACAGCTACAGCTTAATTCTGTAGATGTTGGAATGTGGTAGACAAAGTGAGAAACCTAGGATTCTGGTATAGTGCATCTCTCAACCCACCTCATTGCTCATTGAGCTGCTAATGTTGCTGCAGAGAGAAAAACATATGGGTTGTCCAAAGCCTAGGAGTTCTCACTGCTCCTCACCAATGTGGAGAAAAGACACTGATGGTGGCTGGGCAGCTGCAGAAAAGATCAAATAGAACCTTCAATCACGGAGGTCCCTCCATGTTGCTAAAGAACCTTGTGGGGTGGGGGAGACTCCCAGAGTTCCCATTATTCAGAATCCCATGCTAGGTGGCCATGTAAGCTGCATCCTACAGGAGTGGGGCCTGTCACAGCTCCTGTGGGGAGTGAAATGGGTTCATGGTTCAAAATAGCCAATTTCAAGGATAGAATACACATACTGTATGATATGATCCCACTTATATGACATGTATAGAACAGGTAAATCTATAAAGACTGAAAGTAGATTAAGTGATTGCTTAGTGATGGGTGGCAGAGGATAAGGCAGGAGGGGAAAGATTTGAGGAGTGACAGGTAAGAACTATTGGTGTTCCTTTTCGTGTAATGAAGTTCTAATATTTATTGTGGTGATGATTCACAAGTCTCTTATCTCCATATTCACATATCCATATATTTTTAGTCACCCATTGATTTGTACTCTTGAAATGGTTGAACTATATTGTATATGAGTTATATTTCAGTGAAACTCTAAAATGTTTATAACTGGGTTATAAAAAAGATTAAAGACCCAAAGAAACAAACTGAGAACCAAATAAGGCTATTAGTGACCTGAAAATTGAATTAGAACCAGTGAGGGAGAAAGTATATAAGGCTAGACTTCTAATAAATGTCTTAAAGGAAAATTTGAAATAATTACACATACTGTGAGAGAAAAAAATAGACATTGAATCAATTAGAGACAACATGATAGACACAAAGACCAAAAAAAAATTAATCCCTAGAGTAGGAAAGCCAGTAAATACTTTAAACAATATACAAAAAGATATAAATGTAGAAAATTTTCCTAAAATGAAGATGTTTCTGTAAATTATAAAAATATGATGTGTTCCAAGAAAAACTAACACAGAATAACTGACCAGAAAATATAACCTCATTAAATTATTAGATTTCTAGGTTAAAAGAAATTCTGTCAGGCAAGTAGTTTGTTTATTTATTTATTTATTTATTTTTGGTCGATAGAAATATTGACAGGCCTCCCTCAGCCTCTGCCCGCAACTTAAAATATAAGAAAACAATTTAAAAATGTCTGCAAAATATGATATTCTCAGCCAGATCTGTTAAAACACAAAAGCATCAGGCAGAATTCTCAGACGTGCAGAGGCTGAGAGAACTGACCAACCATACGCCTCTTCTTGAGAAAAAAAAAATGAAACTGACCAACTAAAAAATGAATCAAAACGAAGAAATTCTAAATTTTCTTTGTTAAAAGGCTTAAATCCTAAGAATTGAATTCTTTAAATACTGTATAGACCTAAGGCTAAGAAGTGGGACAATTATGGCTGCAGAACAAGACATGAACATTAAAAACCCAGACAAAGTGAAAGTTATATCATCCATAACAGCAAAATGAGCCAGAATAGAGGCAGGGAAAGGAAGATGAGGGGAACCTTTGCGTCCATAAAGAAATTGATGTCGCTGGTTCAAAACTGAAAGTGTACTTGCAAATGAAATTATATGATGTCAGGTTTTGCTTTAAAATAAGCACTGAAGGGAAGGAGAAAGGGGAAAAGAGAGCAGGAAGGAGAGAAGGGAGGAGGGAGAAAACAGTAATGGTTGGTGATGGGAAATGGATGAGTCAGGAGTTGCAAATGTTGCTGATCATTGAAGTTGGATGATAATGAGGGATCATTTATTTATTGTACTTTTCTCTTTAGTCTGTGTACTTAAGTTTTTCACAATAAAAAGTTTAAAATACAGTAACAAAATTGGATTACATGATTTTAAAAGACTCTACCTCTTTAAAGACTGGGAAATATTTTTTAAATAGAGAATCACCTTTTTAAAGTATTATATGTCAGATAATCTCTTTCTCATAAAAGAACTTGTTACCTGTCTGTTACACCATCTTCAGTATGGTTAGCAGGAGGTAGAATGGAAGGGTTGCCATCAAAAGTTATTTCTGCATGTGAGATTTTGTTTTGCTTTTTGAGATAGAATCTCACTGTGTAGTCCAGGCTGGCCTTGAACTCATTGGGATCCCCCTGTTTCAGCCTACCAAGGGCTGGGATTACAGGTGTGCCCCACCGTGCCTGGTTTTGGAGTAATTTATTGCTTTCCTTTTTTAGTTACAGTTGTTTAAATTATTTAAAAGAATTTAATAACATATAATCAACACTTCTCTTCATTCTTTAAAAAGTATAGCTTTGGTTTATGCAGTTACCAGTAAAATTTCACCACAACTAGGCCAATGTGGGTGCTGATAGTTAAGGTAGTCAGCTATGTCAGATGCACAGTGTAAACCTTGGTATGCTGATGACTTGTTCTATTTCTTTGGGTCTAGGAAGCATCTATGACTTCTTTTTCGTCAAACACGGTAGTGGACATTGGGACACATGGGCAGAATATATCACCAAAGACGAGGAAAACATTCCTGCTATTGCAAAGGTAGAAGAGAAGTACTGGCCATGGAGCTATAGTCTCTAAAAATACTCAAACTTTTTTTTTTTTTTTTTTTTTTTTTTTTTTTTTTTGCTGTGCTAGGGAAGGAACCTAGGGCCTTGCTCATGCCTGGCAAGTATTCTACCACTGAGCTAAACCCTAGCTCAAGATGTGAGCATTTTAAAGAGCTTTCTTTAGAAAAAAGATTTAAACATGAGTTAGATCGAAACATGGACCTCAAAGCATAGAACTTCCAAAGAATAGAGCTCAAAATCAGAGACCTAGATTCTTTACTCAGCCTTCATACTCCCTATCTTAGTTTACTCGACCATAAAATGAAATAAAAAATATTTAATGGATGATTGCAAAGGTTGAAGGTGGTATACATGAGCATCTGGCACATAGTCAGGTTTAGACTGGTGTTTGTTGCTGTTCTGATGATTATCAGTAATGCTGAGGAAGTTGCGGGGCTTGGTGGCACATGCCTGTAATCCCAGCATTCAGAAGGCTGAGGTAGGAGGATTGCCTCAAGTTCATGAACAGCCTGTCTACATAGCGAGTTTCCTCAACTACAGAACAGAGACAGTAATGCCTACATTTATGTGGTCTCATTTAACACAAACCAACTCTGTATATTAGTTGCTCTATTATTATTCCCATTTCACAGAGGAAGAAACTGAGGGCCCTGGGAAGTTAAAAATCCACTGGAGGTCCTAAAGATGAGGGTTGCAACTAGAATTCAAGCCCTGACCCTTGATTCCAAGACCCAGCCCGAGTCCAGGACCAACATGCCCCCGTGTCTTTGTGGTACAGGTCTCAGAGCTCATCATCCCCTCAATGGAGACAGCCCGGCAGTCCTTCTTCTTGAAAACCTACCTGGACCATGAGATCCCAATGCTGTTTGTGGGTCCCACGGGCACTGGAAAATCAGCCATCACCAACAACTTCCTTCTCCGCCTTCCCAAAAACACCTATGTGCCCAACTGCATCAATTTCTCTGCCAGGACTTCAGCCAATCAGACCCAGGATATCATCATGTCCAAGCTGGATCGGAGGTGGAAGGGTCTTTTTGGCCCTCCCACAGGGAGGAAATCAGTGGTGTTTGTGGGTAAGGCATTGGCCTAGGTCTGGACACAACTGGGCTCTTCTACTCTATGGCAGACCAGAGCTTGTAGGGCCACTGTTCAATCCTTTTCCTCTTTCTAGGAAATAAAATATTTGTAGTTAATATAATCTAGTATTCCTTCCCTCTCCTTCTCTTCCTCTCTCATCTCCTTCCCTCCTGCCTTCCCTTCTTTCCTTCCTTCCTTCTCTGCTTCCCCATCTTTCTCTCTCTCCTTCCTTTCTTCCTTCTTTCTTTCCTATGAGTAGTAGTTCTAGAAGATTCTGTGGTGACATTTCCAGGAGCAACATATACTTTGTGATAACCTCCTTCTTTCACTTTGCACTAGATAAGTATATTATCAGTACACAAACCTATTCGTTGCTAAATAAATATTTTAAAAATAAGAATACTGCAAAAAAAAAAAAAAAGGCTGAGATTTAGCTCAATGGTTCCGCTGCCTGCCTCACAAGCAAGAGGACCTAAGTTCGATCCCTACTACCAAAAAAAAAAAAAAGAACACTGAATTTTTTTTACAAAGCACTTCCTCATTTATTTCATTTGAGCCTCTGAACCCAATGAGGTTATTAATTATTATTATTATTTTGTTAGTCAATTAATTCAGGCTCCAAAAGGTTAGATTCCCTATTCAGGGTCAAACATCTAGAAAATGCTGGAACCATGATCCAAACCCAGATCTTGGTGTCAGACATAGTATATTTTCCACTATCTGATTTCTGACTTGGGGAGTTCTCATACTGCACCACTCTTCTGAGTTACCCCATGACTCCTCTTTAAAACTCATGTATTAATTGTAAATGTTATATGCATTTATCTCCTTGACAACTAGCATCAGCTCCTGAAAGACTTAATAGCAGCTTCCTATTTTACTTATTTTTCTTTTTGTTTCTTCCTCCTTTCCTTCATTCTAATCTCCTTCCTTAGTTTTATGGTGTCCCCCAAAACAATTTAAAGTTTGCAGCCAAACACATTTGGGTTCCATATCACTTTTTTTTTTTTTTTTTTTTTTTTTTTTCAGAACGTAGGACCTTGTTTTTACAAGGCAGGCACAGTGCCACTGAGCTAAATCCTCAGCCCTTCCAAAATCACTTTTAATGCAAACAATAGTGCAGCTTAGCCTCCCTGACCTGAGGGACTTTACAGTCAATATTTTGATTAGATGGAATAAAAGTCTCTTGGCACAAACTGGATACTCAATATTTGTTGAATAAAAATTAAAAGAGCTTCCATTTATGGCATGCTTCCTGTGTGCCAGCAATGAGCAGCGTTTATTGGGTAAAACATCATCCCTACCTCAAGAAAGCACATAATCTATTTTGCCATTTTGGTTTCACTTACAAAAACCCTGGCCCAGCTGGGTGCAGTAACATAAGCCTAAAATCTCAGCTACTCAGAAGGCTAAGGCAGGAGGATCCCAAATTCCAGGCCAGCCCAGGTCACTTAGTGAGACCCTGTCTCAGAATTTTAAAATATAAAAAAAGGGCTAGAGATGTAGCTCAATGGTAAAGCATGTGCTTAGCATGTGTGAGCTCTTGGATTCAATCCCCATCACCACTAAAACTCTTTAATACATGCAATATGAGACCCATATCACATTTGTGAGTACCTGTACTAGCAGCTACTTGCAAGGTGGAGGCAGAAGGAAGACTGAATCCAGGAGTCTGAGGCTAGGCTGGGTAACATAGCAAGACCCCCATTAAAAAACAAAGAATCTATTGGCTTGGGAGTTCACCTTCACTGTCATATATCTCTAGCAATTAACAAAATGCCTAACATAGTGTAGGCATCAGTATGTTTTGGTTGAAGGAAATGAGACAAATTAAATGCCTGCCTGTCGATGCCAGTCCACACATCTATCATCATGAGCAGAGATCGCAATAAGGTAGAAGAGCCAGGGACCCAGGAAAACCCTCCCCATCTGGCTAGGTTGTTCACTGACTGAACCTTGCATTGAGTGTGGATGAAACATCTGTGCACAGACTCTTCTGTGGGGGAAATACTTATCCATTACCTCCTGTGAGAGCAGAGGATCAATGGACTTACAGTATGTGTCTGTGGCTTCTTTCCACAGATGACCTCAACATGCCAGCCAAAGAGGTGTATGGGGCACAGCCCCCCATCGAACTCCTGAGGCAGTGGATTGACCATGGTTACTGGTTTGACAAGAAAGACACAAGCAGACTGGACATTGTGGATATGCTACTTGTGACAGCCATGGGTCCCCCTGGAGGAGAAAGGAATGACATTACTGGTATGTGAAGGAGAGAGCCCAGCCTCTTATTCAGCACAGCTGGCCTACGGGGCACTGAGCTGAGAGGGCATGGAGCAAAATGTGTTTAGGACATAGCTGGAGGGCTTTAAATTAGCTCGGGACTTCATATTGGAAGCTGTGTGCATAAAATGGAAAGATGACAAAAGGATGGAAGGAATCTGGCTAGGTGCAAGGAACAAAGTGAATGTCGTATCAAGAGGAAAGTTTGGTGTGGCAGGCTTGTGTTTCAGGAGACAGGCTCGTTCTGAGGTCAATCAAGGGTGCATGCAGAGTCACTTTTAATATTTGTTACAATTCTTCAGGTTGCCAAAAATAGAATACCTAACTCCAAGTGGCCTACAAAATGAATGATAATATAGCAGGCAGGCAGGCAGGCAGACAGACAGGTAGATAGGTAGATTTTCTTACCTATTATCTAGAAGTTCTGGAAAACATTTAAAACAATGAGATTTTTAAAAACCAAAGTAGAAATGAAGGCAGGTACTGCAACGTGGACGAATTTTAAAAACATTAGGATAAGTGAAATAAGTTGGTCATAAAAGAACAATATTGTATCATTCAATTCATATAAGATACTCAGAGTAGTCAAATTCATACAGATAATAGAATGGTGACTGCCAGAGTCTGGAAGGATGGAGAAATGGAGACTTGGTGTTAAATGAATTTCATATGAGGAAAATCAAAAAGTTTAGAGAATGGATGTGTTGATGTCTGCAAAACAATGTGAATGTTCTTGATGACACTAAACTATAAAACTATGAATTTTTGGACTATTTTATAATGATCATGTGTTGCCTTTGTGTTTCAAAGACAATCTTAAGCACTAGACCAGCATTGTATAGGACTTCTGTAATCATAGTGATAGTCTGTATCTGTCTGTGCTGAGCAGTACAGTACCCACTGGTCACATGGGGCTGAGAAGCACTTGGAGAGTGGTGAGACTGTGGAAATCCATCTGTAATGCTACTGAGTATTAATTAACTTCAGTTTAAATAGCTACATATGGCTAGAGGCTGACACACTGGATGGCATAGCTGCAGAACACGTAGGTGGAGGTAAAACCAACTTTCCCGTATCCTAACACCACTAAGTCCTGGAAGTGTGAGTGTGTGCAAGCTTGAGTGTGCATGTGTTTTCCAGGACGATTCACTCGCCATCTGAATATCATTTCCATCAGTGCCTTTGATGATGACGTTTTAACCAAGATTTTCTCTTCTATTGCTGACTGGCACTTTGGGAAGGGGTTTGATGTGATATTCTTAAGGTAAGAGGTTCTTACGTCTTCCTAGATATTCGCTAGGGGTCCCATTTCTGGTCTGTTCTTGACTGATCTGCCTTTTTCTTCCTCCAAAGGTATGGAAAGATGATGGTACAGGCTACCAAGACAATTTGTAAAACTGCAGTAGAGAACTTTTTGCCAACTCCCTCCAAGTCACATTACGTCTTTAACCTGAGGGACTTCTCACGAGTGATCCAGGGGGTACTGCTCTGCCCTCACACCCACCTGCAGGTCAGCCACTATCATTTCAGTCACTGTTAACATCCCAGCAATATCTTTGCATATGCAATGACAGTGGTAGTAGCTAGCCTTTATTAAGTACTTTGTCTACGTTGGGCATCATGCAAAGTGTTTTACCAGCATTATCTCCTTTACTCCTCACCTCAACCCCAAAATTTAGATACTGCTTGAGAACTACCATTTTGGGCATCATGTTTCATCCACTCAAATAATTAACTCTGGATTTTTAGGATGTAGAAAAATTGGTCCGCCTTTGGATACATGAGGTTTATCGAGTCTTTTATGACCGTCTGGTTGACATGGAAGACAGACAGGTGTTTTTCAACATGGTGAAGGAAACCACCTCCAATTGCTTCAAGCAGACCGTGGAGAAGGTCAGTCAGATACTTTGATCATTTGACCTCAGAAATGGTCTCAAGAGTTTGATCAGATTCCAGGCTCTCTTCCCAGTAGAGACTCACCACTCTGCTCTTTGAATCTCAGGAAATGGTATTGCATGAGTCAGCTAGTCGCTTGATTTGGTCATACTTTACTTGGTCCAACTTCTTTTGAAGTGGTATTAAGGACTGAATACAGAATTACACACCCAGGCCTTTTTATTTAGAGACAAGTTCTTTCTAAATTGTCTAGGCTGACCTTAAATCTGCAATTCCCCTGCCTCAACTTCCCAAGTAGCTGGGATTATAGGTGTACACCACAATATCTGATGCACATTCTTCCTTTAATGTCCTTTCATCATAGAATTTACAACAATCAGATTAACGTACTATGTTAAAGAAATAAGGAAATAAACAAACCTGATGACAAACCATGACTTGAGCTATGTGCTTAGAAGAAGAAAGTGCATCTCCCCTTCCCTCCTTTCACACCTCCCACTGCCAGCTTGGTTAGACCACAGGCTGAATGCCCAGCTGACATTTACCTTTCTCACAGGTGCTTATCCACTTGTCACCCACTGGAAAGATAGTTGATGACAACATTCGTAGCCTCTTCTTTGGGGATTTCTTCAAGCCAGACAGTGATAATAAAATCTATGATGAGATCACTGACCTGAAACAGCTGACAGTGGTCATGGAGTACTACCTGGAAGAGTTCAACAATGTCAGCAAGGCTCCTATGTCCTTGGTCATGTTCCGGTTTGCCATTGAACATATCTCCAGGATCTGCAGGGTCCTGAAGCAGAACAAAGGCCATTTGCTCCTGGTGGGGATTGGGGGCAGCGGGCGGCAGAGTGCCACTAAACTGTCCACATTCATGAATTCATATGAGCTATACCAGATTGAGATCACAAAGAACTACACGGGCAATGACTGGCGGGAAGACCTGAAGAAGATCATGCTGCAGGTCGGGGTGACCTCCAGGAGTACTGTGTTCCTCTTCACTGATAATCAGATCAAGGATGAGTCATTTGTTGAGGATATCAACATGCTTCTAAACACGGGAGACGTGCCCAACATCTTCCCAGCTGACGAGAAGGCTGACATTGTGGAGAAGATGCAAATGGCAGCCAGAACAGCAGGAGAGAAGATCGAAGTCACTCCTCTTTCTACGTACAACTTCTTTATAGAGAGGGTGAAAAAGAACCTACACATTGTGCTTGGTGAGAGGCAGCAAACGCAGTTTGCCCCCTTAAAAAAACAAAAAACAAAAAACATGTGTTTTAGGTTCTTCTCGGTACCCTAATCCCAGTGCCCTTTCAATGGTCCCATTATTGATCCAACCAAGGCACCAGCCAGGGTTCAGCCTGGAGTTCTAGCAATGTTTCCCACTCCTCCTGAACCTGTTCTACTGTCTTCAGTTCTCTGAGAATGTGTCTTAGCATATTGACCATGCCTATAACAGTACCTGGTACTGTCTTTGTGAATGATGCCCTCAATCTATCCAGAAGCCTAGCAGCTGTGTTGAATACTTCTTTGTCATGATGAAGTCCCATTGATTTTTTACATCCTCCCTGTCTCTCATATCCACCTTCTGATCTCCATTTCCACCACCCTCACATTAGCTAAGCCACTATTATCTTGCCCAGACCTCACCTCTAAAACTTTCTAACTGTTTTATGTCTGTTTTTGTCTGTTCTAGACTCAGTTTCACTGAGCCAGGAAGATTCTTTTATCATATTGCACATAAGATCATTGCATATGTGTGTGAGTTTGCACATATATGCATACCACACATACATGCACACAGAATACTGAAATTGCTTTCTGTTAAGATAAGGACTAAAATTTCTAACCTGTGGTCTTAGGAGCCCATCTTATATCAAACCAAGCTTCCCCTCTCTCTGTTCTTCGTCCACACTGATCTCCCCACATTTCCACCTATGTAACATGCTTCCTCCTACCACACTGAGTTTAAGTAAATACTGAATGGAATTGGGGATGTAGAACTTGAGCTTTGTGGTTGGCTGGAGATGGGGAAAGAAACAAGCTGATGGCAGCTTCTGTGAGTAACTGTGACTTCCTTATGTCTGAGTTAGCATAGATATAGCAAGAGGGCCACAGAGCTCTAGCCACTCTGACTAAGGCACCCCAAGGATCTGGAAGAAACAGTACTGTGTGAGGGAGGTTAGTCATAAGGCTATTGTGATATACTGAGATTTCATCTCAGAGTTATATGAAAATACCCCCTGATTTCCCTGAGCTGCCCAGGCAGTTGAGATGCCTACTCATCTCTATACCCCTGGAACATCAAAAGAAGCATAACCCCCCACCAGCTCCCCACCTTAGTATACGAGTATCCCTGGAAATGCTTATCTGTTCCCCTGCCTTGGAAGAAGGGAATTAACAAAGCTTACTTTTCATCAGCCATGAGTCCAATTGGGGATGCATTCAGAAACCGCCTGCGGATGTTCCCTTCATTGATCAATTGCTGTACAATTGATTGGTTCCAGTCCTGGCCTACTGATGCCCTGGAGTTGGTGGCCAACAAATTTCTAGAGGATGTGGAGCTTGATGACAAAATTCGAACAGAGTAAGTGTTAGCTGCATTTTAGTACCTTGAATATTTCAAGCTGAAAATCTAGATGCTTGTTCTCTCCATAATGTTGTTTCAGATTTCTTAATTTACATATAGAAAATATCTTACTCTTAAACTGTATTGCATTTAGACATTAATAAAGCACCTTTTATGAAAATAATGAAATATCATTCAGAATAGTCTTGGAGATGCACTGTTGTCCTAAATATGAGGACCTGATATAATAATTTAGTTATATCAGTAGTCTTTGAACATGCATTCTCGGAGGAATGAGCTTGCTGTCAAGGAGATGAAGTGGTCTTTGTAAGGGTGAAAAAGGTTTATTCTTTTATGTAAAAAGCACAGATATGCAAAAATGCCCACTCATTTACACATTAGTTTTGGCTGGAGTAAGGAAAGTGATGAGAATGTCTACCACCCCGAGTGTCCCAAGAAGGCAGAGATCATGCTGATTTGTCTCCCCCATATCCTTAGTATTCACCAAGTGCCTGCTACATAGTAAGTTCAGTTACTGTTTATTAAATGAATTGGTGAAGTAGGCAAGATTAGGGTGTCATTGGTCTTACATTCCATTTTGAGACTTTTAAACTTTATTTCTGTAGATCAGAAAATCTTTAACCTGGACTCATGGGTAAAATTTATTTGGTGAATATGTATGGAGATAAATTACTATCATTTCTACAGATATATAAGTGATATTATATATTTCCTTTCATAAAGAAGAAAGGCAATAAACCCCAGATCAACTGTCTGGGCCTGTGACCTTGTTACTTGTGGTAATCACAGCTCTTTTCACAACTTAGTTACTGCAAATACCCATGTGTAACACTTCCTTCAAAATTATATTGGTTTCTAGGCCTCCTGCTGAGTCTTGTTATTTAATACTGTGGCTGGAAAACTATAGTCCATGAGCCAAGTTCAATTCACAGCCTGTTTTTGTCTGTAAAATTTTATTGGAACACATCCATGGCCATTCACTTACACATTATTTATGGCTGTTTTTGAACTACAGCTGTGGATCTGAGTAGTTGTGACAAGCACCGTGTGGCCCCAAATCACTAAAATATTTACTATCTGATCTTTTCCAGAAAAAGTTTATGGACTCCTAACTTAATGTATTAATAAAGAACCATGTGTATTACTTATATTGCAAATTCAGTTTTCAACATATTCTGAAAAGTGTGTTTCAGTGTAATTGGCTTCCTTGGTAATCCTATATATCCTATGCATTTTGAAACATTATTCTGAACACCTGTTGACCTGTTGGGTTGTAGTGAGCCATAGCCAGTGTATGTACCTTCTCATACCCTCATATTTTTCTCCAAAGGTGTACTAGATTTTCTTGTAGGAAATAGAGTCCCATCTAACAGTCATGGTATCTTTGGCAGGGTCGTCTCCATGTGTAAATACTTTCAAGAAAGTGTGAAGAACCTGTCACTTGATTATTATAACACACTTCGAAGACATAACTATGTTACCCCCACTTCCTACCTTGAACTGATTCTAACCTTCAAGACACTCCTGAATAGCAAGAGGCTTGAAGTGGACACGATGAGGAACCGATACCTGACAGGCTTGCAGAAACTGGACTTTGCAGCTTCCCAGGTGAGTATTGCCCAAACAGAACAGAGAAGAAGAGGGCCAGAATGCAGCAAATGTGGCAGGGCACTTGGTCAGGTGCTGCACTTGAGGGCACCAAATAAAGACAGGATCCAATCTGAATTTGCAAAGCTCACTTTGCTTGCCTCATTCTAATCCTGGCCCCATAAGATCCTGTCTTTGTTTATGATTTTAATATCTTGCTCATCATGGGGGTTTTTTTCATTGATTTTTATTTCTTAAAACATTCAATGAAGTATTATTTATTTTAAGCAGAGTATTCTGTGTTCCCTTAAAAGTACCTGAGATGAAGGTTTTTGTCTTTGTAGTGTCAGATCTGGGTCCAAATTCCTACAGTACAACTTAGCAGCTACAGAACCTTCAACATATTGTTTTACCTGTTGAGGGCTCTTCTAGACAAGGATGATAATTGTAAATACAGCCTTCAGTGAAATGCCTGCCATATGAGTTATTAATTAGTTTGTGCTCGGGGCCACTTGACAAACTGTCTAAAATTAGAGCCATGTTATAAGATGGATTTTTAGCATCAATAAGGAACTATGGCAACAGAATGATTAGCAGTGAGTTAACCTATGGCTATATACAGCAAACCCTTGAACATTATAACACAGGGATTGGAGAGAACATCAGAGGTGGCTTCCGCCATCTTCTCTGAGGGAGGGTGTGAATTGAACTCAGTGTCCTGGCTTTTAGAAGGATGTTGAAAACTAAAGTCACCCCAAACAAGGGTGAGCAAACTGTTGTTTTGGGAGCAGAAGTGGGACCAAAAACCATCTAGGCCATAAAAGGAATGACAGTGGCAGTTAACATTCCTTGAACTCTACCAGACAGTCCATTTTGAGTGTGAGAAAAGTACTATTTTGAACTCCATTACATACAAACAAAGAGACTGGCCCATGATCGCACAGCCTGGTGAGTGGTTGGACCAAAACTGAAGCTCAAACCTGCTTGACTCCAGGACTTGTGTTCCTAACCAGGCCAGTGGGCCATGCCCTGGCACCCACACAGGCTCGCTGATGACAGTGGGTACAAGGTCATGAAGATCCTCTCCAAATACTTGAAATCCAATCCCATGTGTCTGAGCAGCCTTACAGGGTGGAGTCAGCACCATGGGGTGAAAATTGTAGTGTGTAAATTCAGCCTCTTCCACAGAAAAATCTGATGAGTTTAGTTGACTGAAAAATGGCACAACACTCCTGATAGGTGTTGAGCTCCTGTCATTAGAGATGTTTAATCAGAGATCAGAAGAACCTTTGGTGGAAATATTTTAGAGACATCAGGTTTTATCTTAGTTATTTCAGGCTGGCTTCAGTAACAAGCCTTTATTTCACATGGTTCTGGAGGCTAGGAATTCCAAGATCAAGGCACCAGCAGAGAAATTATCTCGGAGCAGGGTGCTTCTTCCTGGTGTGCACAAAGCCACCTTCTTGCTGTGTATTTACATGATGGAATCAGATAGATCTCATGTCTTTTCTTCCTTTTATAAGAACACATCTCCCATCATGCAGGCCCCACCTTCATGACCTCATCTAGCCCTAATTACCTCCAAAGGCCCTACTTCCAAATACCACTGACTTGGGGATTGGGCTTCAGCATATGAATGGGGGCACAAACTTTCAGTCCACAGCACTGCTGGAAAAACTAGCCTTGAAATTCCCTTCTATATCAGGTATATCTGATCTTTCTCTGTTTCCTTCAAATCTTAAAAAATACTATAGCTTTTAAAAGTTTTTCTTAGCTTGCTTATGGCTTATCTTTCCCCAACATTAAAAGAGACAAGGGAAGAAACTATACCTATAAAAAAATTGTATTTGCCATTGTATTACTACTGCCTAGCACAGAGCTTTTAACAGTAACACATGGTTCGAACTCAAAATTGATAAAAGAGACAAACAACAGTCAACAAATACATACCCAGTGCCATTTCCAGATTATTAATCTGTATTTTCTGCATATGTTGAAAGATGGATGGGGAAATCATTTCAACCCTTGCCAAATTTGCCATTTTTGTGGCACTGACACAGCTGGCCATGTATTCCTCCCACCCTTCTCTCCTTGCTAGGTGGCAGTGATGCAAGTAGAACTGACTGGCCTCCAGCCTCAGCTCATCCAGACCTCTGAGGAGACAGCTAACATGATGGTGAAAATTGAAGAGGAAACTAAAGAAGCTGATGCTAAGAAACTTCTGGTGCAGGCAGATGAGAAAGAAGCCAATGCCGCCGCTGCTGTTGCTCAAGGGATCAAGATATGAACAGCCAGGAGGAAAGGAAAGAAAAACTAGTCCTGCAGAATGTGCATGGCCATACCCATCTTGCAGATGAGATAAGTGAGGCTCAGAAAGGGTAGGAGACTTTTCCAGTATCATAGATAGTAAGTGATGAAGCAAGTCTTTCTGTACTTGGCTTTCTCTAAGAATATTGTTTTCCAAACATTCTCCATCTCACGCAGAGTCAAGGCTGATAGGACTCTTGATCTGACTTCATCTACTTCTACTTTCCTGCCATTTACTCCATTCTGCCCATGCTGGCCTCCTGATTATTTCTTAAATAAGTATAATGCATATTCTTACTCCAGGGCCTTTGCACTGGCTGTTGCCTTTACCCAGAATACTCTTCCTTTAGTTACCCACGTGGCTGTCTTCTTTATCTTCACATTTTAAAAAATTGTGTCTAACAAATTTTAGGTGTGAAACAAATATCTATCAAATAATAGAATGGTGAACCAAAAGGACTTTATTTGAAGGTAATTCTTATACTGAAGATGTCTGAAGAAAGGCTTAGCCTACACTCTGATATTAGAAGAAATATCTCATTAACATTGATACAATGTTACATCTTTCTCAAAATACTTTGTAGTACATGATTCCATTTACATATCACAACCACCTGGAGGAATGGCAGCTATCAATATCTGAGAGTTGATGATATTGAGGTTAGTGGCAGAAAGGCCTTCCAGAGCAGTACAGCTAGTTAGTAGGCTTAGACTCTAAGGTTCTTAGCACTTATCTCAAGGCACTTGTCCCTATACCCCTACTTAGCATCTGGAGAATTCTTTCAGCTGTTCTCCATGACTGAGAAGTAGCCTGTGTCAGACTTCTGTCCTTGAGAGGTCATGGAGCATTATCTCAACAAGGACCTGTCTTCAAATTGGCTTTTCTCCAGTAAGTCCTGAGACCTGGCCTCTGGTAGCTTCTCTTGGTGTCTGCCCCATGGTCTCAGAGTCACAAGGCAAATATCCTAGATCAGCGATGGTGAAGCCTTTAGAGCTTTCAATGATACAAACAGCCCTCTTTGGCACATGTGCCATAGGTTTGCCACCACTGCCCTAGATTATTTGAAGAATTGTTCACACACAATCCTAGTGGCTTGGACAAAATACACATGGAAAGTGTAAAAGACAGTGGCACCCAGAACCATAATCAAGCTGGTGATTTACCATTTTGGGATAAGATAATAATAATAGCTACTACTTCTCAGCACCATGGGTATTTCTCTAGTATTTCTACTCTTAGCAAATATTTGTTGAACAACTACCATGTGCTGCCATTATTTTAAGCAGTGGGAAAACAAGTATGAATGAAACAGACAAATTCTTTCCATCATGGAGGTTATACTTTCCTATGGTTGTTAACATTGTCTTTAATCATCCTACAATGCAAATGGCTTCATGCCCATTTTGCAGGTGAGAAAATCACGATGTAGAACTTATCCAAGGTCACACAGCTACCAAGCAATAGAATCAGCATTCAAACCCAGAGCTCTGACTCCAAAGCCTTGACATTTGCCCATTATTCCAGAAGTTGCAAACCGGAAGCCAGGGACCACTTGTACATTGTGACATACATAATTATTTTAGTGGGCATGAATTTCTTTAGGTGTTTTTTGTCATGGAAGTATCTTCTCCATCAATTTTGAAAAATAGTTTTGTAGGGTATATCAGTCTAGGTTGGAGGTTGTTTTCTCTTAGGGCTTGAAATATTTTATTCCAAACTCTCCTTGGCTTAAGGATTTGGATTGAGAAATCTGCTGTGATTCTGCTGGGCTTTCTTTTGTAGGTGATGTTTCTTTTCTGTAACAGCTTTTAATATTCTGTTGTTGTATTGAATTTCTGGTATCATGCCTATTATATGCCTTGGCATAGATTTTCTTTTTAATCATAGCTAAATTCATTATGCCTTTTATTTTTCAGTACTGGGATTCAAACTCAGGACCTTGTGTTTACGAGGCAGGTGCAGTGCTACTGAGCTAAATCTCCAGCCCTATGCCTTACTTTCTATATGTCAATTTCTTTCTCTGTTTGGGAAGTTTTCTGCCATTTCTTCTGTAAACAGGTTTTTTTATGTCATTTGCACTGTCTCCTACTTTTTCATTGACCGATCAATTATGTTGTTCTTTGCATCAACTAGCAGCTGTTAGATTTTTTTTTGTGTGTGGCCCCTTGCTATTCTTAAGAAATCTTTCTTATCATGATCACTAACTGTAAACCTGACTTCAAAATCTGATATTCTGTACTCACATTGATTGGTTCTGCTATGTATACTTTCCATAGAATTTTTAATATTCTGGATGTTTCATGGACCCCATGAATGTTGGACATTCATGGTTTCCATAATATTCCTAAGCTCTATTTTTTAAAATCCCTATCTACTCTAAATTCACTAACCATGTCCTTCATTATGGTCATCATCATCTCTTTAGTTATCTGAGAAATGATTTCTAATTTGTTTCCTAGAACCTTGTTCATTTGCTTTCTTACTTCTGCTGTTACCAGTTCAGAGAATTCATGTTGGGGGTTTTCAAATTGTTTTACCTCACTGCCCGCTGGGTTTGCTTTGGGTCAGCTGGAAGTCTGAGGTTGCATCTTGCTTCTGTGTCTTCTCATTTTTTATTCTAGTTGTAGCTGACTTTTGGCTTTTGAGTCTGTTGAAAGATCTTCCCTCTTCAATTTTGGGGAAATGAGAAATTGTTGCCTATTTGGCCCAGCCC